AGCCGGGGTGCCCTCCCCATGCCAGGGCAGAGCCCCCGTGCCGGGACCAGGGCCTTCCCCGCACTCCTCTGCCGTTTGTGTGCTCACGGCCGGCCTAGCCCGTTGGCAGAAGGGCCGCACGGTTGCTATGTCAGTGCATCGGGCTGCCAGCCACGGGCTGCCGCGTTCTTCACTTTCTTTCCTGGTGCTGCCTTCCTGTGCCCAGCGAGCGGCTCTTCGCAGAGATGGCCGACGTGATGGCTGCTGAGGGCTGGAGGGATGCAGGCTATGAGTTTGTCTGCATTGACGACTGCTGGATGGCCCCAACGCGGGACGAACAGGGCAGGCTCCAGGCTGACCCAAAACGGTTCCCCAGCGGGATCCGCCAGCTGGCTGACTACGTGAGTGCCACCTGCCACAGTGTAGGGCAGTGACAGCAGTTGGGGACCCAACCTCCAGCCACGCTGGGAGCAGGAGAGGAGAGGGAAGGCCAGGTGGGGAATGGCTGCATAGCTGCTGAGCTAAGGCCCTGCCTGCCAGAGTTGGGGTTTTGCTTCCTTTGTTGGCCCAGCTCCGCTTCCTCCTGCCTTGTGGCTCCCATCCCCAGTTCTTTTTCTGTCTGCCAGCACAGGTCCACTCCAAGGGGCTGAAGTTGGGAATCTACAGTGATGTTGGGAACAAGACATGTGCTGGCTTCCCTGGCAGTTACAACCACTACGAACAGGACGCCCAAACGTTCGCCTCCTGGGGTGTGGACCTGCTGAAGTTTGATGGCTGCAACTCTGGCACGCTAGAGCTGCTGGCAGAAGGTAGGCATGGGCTCAAGGCAGCACTGCACCATGGGTTGAGAATATTCTGCAGGCAGCAGCAATTCTAGGCCCAGGGTGGGCTCCAGAGAGTTGCTTTTCCCTGAGCATTTAAGGGATTTCCTTACAAAAGCAGGTATGAGATTCTGTTCCCAAGCCCAGGGTAGTGAGTATTGCTGGCCCAAGTTTCATCTGTTCAGCCTCCTGGAGCTTGCACTGAAGTGCACAGCTTGAAAAAGCAGCTTTCTCACACCAGAGACCACATCATGTCAAGCACAGAAACACTGCATACTGTGGGCGCTCTCTGCAAACCGCTGCCTCAGCTCTTAACGAGGCAGGGGCTTTGCCCTTCTGCAGTGCCTTTACTGGAGAGCTCAAAGTGTTTCACACACTTAACCCTTAATCCCTTTGGTGAGGCCATGTCAATGCGAATCAGCGTGAAGCTAGAACAGCTTGTGTCAGCTGTAAAAAGGGCAGTTATCAGGGCTTTTAACAGAAAAGAATGAAGGGACTTCTGGCATGAAAATCCTACTGGGGTTTTCATTTCAAAGCACGCCAGTGTAAATCCCAGTTCAGACGTTATTTGCACTCAGGCTGGCAAGTCAACAGCAGTAGCTCACTGTGCCGAGGGGGCTTGGCTACAGACTCTGTAAGCACAAGCAAATCCCAGTGCCACAGGAGCAGATTTGTGGGAAGAACAATGCAACTCAGAAGGCGGTTTTCTCTTGACTGGGCTCTCGCTGCTGGCACAGTCAGCACCACCGTGTTTGGCAGCCGGAATCGTGCATGCAGTCCTGGCTCTGCCTAGCAGAGAGAACCTGCCCAAGTGACAATCCCGTCAAAGCCAGCTGGTGGGGGTATATGCCAGCTGCCACAGCCAGGAGCACAGCTCAGCACCCCAAGTCACAGCTGAGCTGAAAGCTCTTGCTGGATCATATGTGTAACCCAGATACAATCCAGTTGTATTGAAGCAGTTCCAGGGGAGAGACCAAACTTTTCATTCCCTCTCTGCTGATTAAAAGGGACTTAACAGGGCTGTCCGAGGACAAGGACAGGAAAAAGCTAGTGCTTTTGCATTGTTGCCCAGTCCATATGGCACAAATGCCTCATAAGAACTCCTGCAACGTTATCCAGCAAAGCTGTATCCAGCAGCTTGACAGACACCAACTTGTATTTCCCAGGTATCTAGATGAAAAGATGCCACACAGCAAAACTGCAGCCTCTTGCCAGGGCTGTATGTACAAAGATCAGCAGTCTCGGAGCAATAAGCCTGCCAATGACCTGTAGCAAAGCTGTGAAGAAGCTCACCTGTCCTTGGGAGGCAGGAGACTCACTGCAGACTACAAGCTTGCATGTCCTCCCCGTGGTGTTTCAGCTGTAATAATGTGTTCAGCCTTAATTTTGCAAGAGTTGAACTGAAACCTGAACCTGTGACATTGGATTAGTTCCTCTGTTTGACCAAGGAGATTGTGTAACCTCTGTCTGATCTGTCCTCTTTGTTTAGGTTACAGGCGCATGTCTCTGGCCCTGAATAAGACTGGAAGGAGCATTGTGTACTCCTGTGAGTGGCCTTTCTACTTGAGGCCTGTGCAGCAGGTAAGGAGTGTTTCTCAAGGCTTATCCTGGGACTGAAAGTGGGAAGAACAGAAAAGTATTAAGACTGCAAAACAGCCTCCCAAGAAACTTGCTGCTCTCTGGTCTGACAGAGAACAAGACTAAGGTGGAGGAAACCCACTTTTTAGAGCCCTGAAGTGTACCTGAGGAGAGTCATGACTCTGCTGAAAAGAATTCAGTAGGATCCTGCAGCATATGAAGACACGCCCCAGCTGGAGCGTGCCAAAGAACACAAGCAGCATCCATCTGCTTTCTGTCTCCAAGGAACCAAGCAACAAAACACTGGCAATGCAGACATGCAGCTAGCAGATAGTTGGGTGTTATTCCTCCTGGACGCAGAGTGCTGCAGACTCAGCCTTACAGTCACCTCCAGGGACCAGGACCTTAGGACAGCCTATTTAACAGGAATTCTCCACATTGTTTACCAACAGATTTCTGCCAGCCAGTGTCCATGACTGACATGTTGTTCTCCACCCACAGGTGGCTTCCCCTGTGCCACCATGACAGGATGCTGCCATTCCCTCCCACTGGGAGTTAAATGCATTAGTCACCAAAGGGTGTAAGCCCAAGAAATGGCAGTAATTACTGGGATGTCACAGTTTAATCTCACTGGCCCTGTCACACCTTCAGTAAAAGAGCACTCAAAGGGATTTTCTAACAGAGTCACATAGTCACAACTATTCTCCCAGGGGAAGCAGTAGTGTTGTCTGGAGCATGGCAGACTGGAGTTACTGGGCACAAGGCATCCTAGGGAACCAGCATGCACTAGATTATCCAGATAGCTGGTGATGGAAGGTGTTATCATAGTTCTCCCCCAGATTATCCCTGATTAATTTGTACAGTCTTGTTCTTGCACAGCCAGGCTCTCTAGCTAATCACATTCGCTGTTTTGGCAGCCCAATTACACAGAGATCAAACAGTACTGCAATCACTGGAGGAACTTTTTTGATGTCTATGATTCCTGGAGTAGCATCAAGAGTATCTTGGACTGGACAGCACTTCACCAGGACAGCATTGTGAAGATAGCTGGGCCAGGGGGCTGGAATGATCCTGACATGGCAAGTAGAGCAACACCCACCTCCCCTGCAGCACCAGCAAAAAATCCTTTCCTTGCCTCTAGGCTGAGAAGGATGGGAAGGGAGAGAAACATTGAGGGGAAGGGCTCTAACAGGGCCCTGGGATCCAGAACTTGATGAGGGGGTTCTTGGCTGGAAAGAGAAAGAGAACTACGGCTATGGACAGTATTGAGGAAGTGCTGTCTCTGTGTAATACAGCTTCTACAAGCAGTGCCAGTTCAGAACACAGGCATGGCCGTGGGAGACAAGTCTCCGAAATGCTGATCTCCCACCAGAGGGAAAACCCCTGGGTGCTAACATTGCAAGGAAGGAATAGTTGCATCTAAAAGCAGATTCTTAAACTCTGCCTAGGCAGATCCTTCTTCACCTCCACCAGTGGTTCATCCTAAATGCCACACTAGTCATGCCTTGTCTTTCCCAACCAGCTGGTTCTGCTCCTGGTGCTCAGCCTACCTAACCAGTCCCCAAATAGGGGTTTCACCGTCAGCATCCTGTCATTTACCAGTGCTTGGGTTGGTGGCCCAGTTTCTCCTCAGCAGGCAGCATTATCAGCTGTTTTTTGTTTTGTCACAGCTGGTGATTGGAAACTTTGGGCTGAGCTGGGACCAGGCGGTGACTCAGATGGCAATGTGGGCTATCATGGCAGCTCCCCTCTTCATGTCCAATGACCTGCGGCACATTAGTCCTGAAGCCAAGTGGCTGCTCCAGAACAAAGAGGTGATCGCCATCAACCAGGACCCGCTGGGCAAGCAGGGATACCAAATCACCAAGGTACAGCAGGACCAGGCTAGGGGTGCTGTGTAGGGCACAGGCAGCCAGCCTCTTCAGAAAAGGGGCACTGGGGACATACAGGGTATAGAGGAGCACTTAGGGTTTGGGAACAGGAGGCCAGTGACCCCACTTGTTCCTGACGCCTGCTTAAACAGGCAGGCATGAAAACCATGAGTTCTGCCTCCCCTAACGCAAGGCCTGGGTTTATTTTTTCCTTGGCAGGACAAGAACTTTGAGCTGTGGGAACGGCCCCTGTCTGGCCGAGCCTATGCTGTGGCGGTGCTGAACCAGCAGGAGATTGGAGGACCCCAGAACTTCACCTTCTCCCTTACCTTCCTCGGCAATGGGCTGGCCTGCAACCCAGCGTGCTCTGTCCGGCAGGTCCTGCCAGCCAGCAGGGACTGTGGGGTTTACAGCTGGGTCTCCTCCCTGAGTGTGGAGGTGAACCCAACAGGCACCGTGCTGCTGAAAGTAGTGGCACTATAGGAGGCACAAAGACAACCTTTTTGTAAGCCTCAGACTCTGCCTAAACTCCTTGCCCCAAGAATCCTGCCTCCTTCCTCCAAGCAGGATGCCTTTGTTTCTCCTCAGGCATTCACTACTCAAGTGCTTCTATGTAGACATTGAACCTTCAGCCTAACATGACAAATGCCCATCACTCCATCACCAACAGATAACAGAGAGAGGGGTGCTGCTTCTCGTTTACCCTTTCTCTGGCATCTCACCTAACTCCTTCTGCAGGAGGCTATAAGGGCCCCAGCAGGGCAAGAGCTCCTGTTAACACCCACTGCCACTACCAACCAAAGAAATGCAAAGCATACATGCAGCATCCTACAGCTTTCCTCGAGCATTTCAGGGACAACAGGGAAACACCCTGGCTGCCTTGTTCTTGCTTTACCAGGCTGGGGCAGAGAGTCCAAGAACAAGAAAAGCTGCTCCTACCCCCATTGAAGAAGCCCAACACTCTCCTCAGAGTGTGGACATCTACTTCCACCTTCTGACAACTCAGGGACTGGCCTAAATCACTGCACTTCTTAGCAACTGCTTTCTTGACAGCTACCTGCTTATTATCAATGTGATTAGAGTATCATGCCTTAGGACTTGGCTTTTTGAGGGTTTCTCCTTACCCCAGGAGTCTTCCTCTCACTACTGGCTGTCTTTAGATGACAATTCCCTCTCCACCCTTCACAGGGCACTGAGGTCCCCTTCCTCAGTGAGCTGCCTTCCAGAAATACCTGTGTGCTTGCCTTCCACTGCTGGCAGTAGCCTTTAGGTTGAACAACAGGTCCTTTTGAGACAGGAGATGGATATTTCATCATTTACGCAACCATCATGTACAAGTATGTTCTCTTGTGACCACTACTCAACCAGGATACCTTGATTTGTTCTTATTTCTGTGATTAAGCATTTTGATTAAAATGTCCCTTAGAAAGGCTAAGCTTTTTCTTAGTTCCACTGAACAAGAGTACAGCATGATATCTAAAATTAAATCAAGTTTAAGAAAACAGGCCAGTTTGTTCCAGTCACTAAGTTCTTGTGAAAATTGTCACAATTACTACAAAGAGCGCTCAGTAAAGCTGACACAGTGCAGCCATATGGTCCATCTTGCAGACAGAGGCCAAAGCCACTGCTACTGACAGCTTAAGCAGCAGGAGTTTGGAAATGCCAGTCACATTGGCCAGTACTGAATAAGCAGAAATACAAATTCTGTTACTGTTTGGTAACTGGGTGCTCAGTCCCTATGAAGATGTGAGGAGGCATTTCTCCATCCTCCAGCTCTATTTCCACTACAAGAAAGTTACTCTTAAGAGAGCTCTGCACTGTGCTCCCAGCACCTGCCAACAGTGGACTTCCTACTCACAGGTAGCAAACTGCTGCCTCAAGTGGATGATCCCATCAGAGCCCAGGGTGGGCTGTTTTCTAAGGTACCATGATGCATCATTGCCTGTCAGTCACCACTCATTTGACACTTCAGTGCTGTGCTCAGGCTTTGTCTTTTCAGGAAAATTCTAAAAGGTGCCAACAGGAGTCAGACACAGGGGGCAGGCAGCCGAGGCCTGTCACACCATCATTTTCAGTGGGACAACACACAGCTGGGGGAACCATGGGCATGAAGCTGTCCCTCTCCCATCTCTGAGCTACCTTAACACCCACAGCTACTGCACATAGGTCACAGCAGCCAGTAACCACTGCCTAATGTCGCAGGTGACACTTTATCAGATTAAGCCCCTAGCTGCTCCTGGGCCCTCGCTGCCCCTTAGGGCCTACAGCCAAATGCAGGAGCTGTTTGGGAAGTTTCAGAGCACTCTGGTCCTTACTGTGTTGAAACCATTGCTGGGTGCAAGGAATCTTGCCTGCCTCTCCTCTCAGGTAAAGTCTTGGAGAAGGAAGAGGCCTACTCAGGCAGCTCTGCTTCCCCGCCCCCCCCAATCACAACTTCATCTACCAACAATTCAAATTCAGCATAACATTCCTGAAATGGAGCCACTGTAAGAGACACACGTTTTAAATGTAACAAGCTGCATAAGTTTAGAGGAGGCCCTTCTGAAGACAGCTTTCTACCATGGAAGCTCATAAATAAGCCTCGAGAAAAGCAGCAGCACAATGCTCACACATAGAAGCCACTGGTGCAAAGATCCATCAGAGCCTCAGGCTCTATATACACTCTAGAACACCTCTTGGTAACAGTAAGGAAATCCCAGCCATTGGCAGCATTTTTTCAAAAGCCTTCAGATTACAAACTGTTCATTTACTAAGCAGCTTTGCAAGCAACACCTTCCTGTTGGCTTGATGTACTTGCAAGTTCCATCCCACCAACAAGATACACAAAACCAAGCAACTGTTCACTTCCAAACACTTTAATATGGTCCATAACAATGAGTACGTTGGAGCTTAGAACTGGATCACCTGGCCCTGTAGGAAGGAAGAAACAGAGCGAGTTTATTCGCCACTGAATGTTGCCACCGTTTCTCAGCCACTCACGGTACACAAACATACCTTTCTCTTCTTGTCTCCTCCCAGTTCAAAGTGCTTGCACCTCTTAATTGCCAGCATCCTCTTGGACCTGCAGTTGGGCTCCACGCACTCCAGCCTCAGCACAATCTTCTTCGTGGTCTTCGCCTGGGAGGAAAGAAGGGCATATCAATGAACAAAATAAGCAGACAAATTCCCACTCTCAGGAAAAACTTGTTATCTGCACTCCTGCAGCTTGTTCTCAAAGCGTAAAGAGAAATGCTACCACCACAGTTAGGCTCCCCCCATTAAAACCAAGAAGGCACCTTAGAGATCAGTACAAGAGTATAGTGGGTCTGTACCTTCACAATAAAGGACACTGGCAAAAGCTTTGAGTGGGGCAGGGCTGGTCCCCTGCAGAGATCAGCCATGCTGGAAGAAAAGTCTGTGCCAGTGAAGCCATCAAGGAATAGGCACTTCTGCAGTGTGGGAGAACAGACTGACAGTGCTCAGGAGAAGTTCAGCAGAAAGCCAGGCAGAAGAAACACCTGAAAGCAGCACAACTGACAAAACCTTCCCTGGAAGAAGCAGCAACACAACGTGCTCAATGCAGACCTGTACCTACTGGGAAGTTAGATGAAACTCAAAAGACTACAGGGGGAAGAATCCAAAGCTGCAAGGCTGCTGTAGCAGCTGGACAGAGCTGTAACCACCAGTTATAAGCCTCAGCCGATCATCCATACAATGCTGACTGGGAAGAAACAGAAATGGGGATGGCAATATACAGGTGGAGCACGCCAAACTGCAAGAGCAGTACAGCTGCTTTGTGTACCCTGCTTGCAGATGCATTTTCTGCAAGGTCTCCCCGCTTCCTGGCAGAAAGTCAACTTGAAAAACTGCTGTCTCATTTTTTTGTTCTTGCTGGAAGACTTCCTTAATATCGCCAACAAGAACACCAGGGCTTTCCAGCAACAAGCCAAATAGCTCTGTAAAGCGTAACTAAACAGTTCACACAAAAACTAACAGATCAGCCCACAGGGTTTTGCTTCTCTGCTGTAAATGCCACAGATTTGCCCCCCTCCCCCCACCTCCTTAGCAGGAGGTACATGGAGGCACACAGTGAAAACATGCCACAAGTCTACAGTCCCAGGTACTCACGCTGAAGAGGAAGGATGACAGCAGGTTTCTACAACTTGTCTGTAACAGAACGCATTGCTGCCCTACCACTGCTGCTTTGAGACTCTCAGGAAAGGCCTAACGCAGCAGCTCTCATTTACTGGCTCAGATATATGGATTTCCCTGGAGACAGCGAAAAAACAATGTCGTGTTCTGTGGTACCCCCAGGAGGTGCACGTGCTTTGCTTCTATCATAGCCTTGTCAGTGAAGGTAGCCTCACTATGCAGAGAGCCTCACAAGCCTGGCAAAAAGTTTCAGTGATAAACTACTGACTTCATAAGGAAGGCAAGCAGCAGGCTCCCTCTCCCTTACTCTTCCCCTTTGACAAGCAACAAGGAAAACACTCCTTTCATTAAAAACAACACTTCCAATAAGATCCCGCTACCCTACTGTGTCCAGGCTCCCTGCAGAAAACCTGCTCTGCAAAGACATGCTATGTCACTCCTGAAAAGAAAGGAAAAAAAAAAAAAAGGAGCCTCTACATGAGTCAGGAGCACCAGAGAAGATAAGCTGATGGGGATGGGGAACTTACACTCCCCGGACAGCACTACCAGCACAGAGCTGCCATAACACAGCTTGAGCACAGGACCACCACAAAGATGCAGGAGGCCAAAGTGTCCCTCTTCATACGGGGGACTGCCAAGAAAGTTTCAGGTCCTCCTTCCAGGAGCAGCACTCACCTTCTTACGGAAGATGGGCTTTGTCTGGCCCCCATAGCCACTCTGCTTCCTATCGTAGCGTCTTTTTCCTACAGGAGAAAATGTCTCTGTTCAGGCAACAACTCAAGACATGATACAAGCACAGCTGGCACTCTTACCAAACCCTAGCAAGATCTCAGCCTGCAGCTCCACAACCAGAAGCAATCAGAAGCAATCCCCCCTTCACAACCATCACCCTAGCGTGGGGCATGACCAGCCAGGCCCCACGCAACTTCCGCCGGACCGTGCTCCAGAGTGCACCCGTCCCTACCCTGGGCGTAGAGGGAATCCTTCCCCTTCTTGTACTGGGTGACTTTGTGCGGCTGGTGTTTGCCGCATTTCTTGCAGTAGGTGCGACGGGTTTTCGGGACGTTCACCTGGAGGGACAGGGAGAAGTCGGTCAGCACGGCCAGGAGCCTTGCAGGGAGCTGGAGAGACGCCACACCATGCTCCGGGGACCTCCTCGCTCCGGCGCTGCCAGGCGCAGCCCGCC